AACCCGGAGAAGAACGGGTGACGGGTGAGTGAGTGAGTGAGTGAGTGAGAAGGAAGGCTGCCTGCAATGGGTGTCTGCGTGGTGTGGTCAAAAAGGTCAAGATGGCAGCCACGGAATAGAAGAGAGAAAGGAAGAGAAGAGAAAATAGAAGAGAAGACATTAGAACAAAAAAGAATAGAAATATGAAAGAATAGAATAGAATAAGGAAAGAAGGAAGGAGAATGGAATGGAATAGAACAGAAATATGAAAGAATAGAATGGAAAATAGAAGAGATTAGAACAAAACAGAATAGAAATATGAAAGAATAGAATAGAATAAGGAAAGAAGGAAGGAGAATGGAATGGAATAGAACAGAATGGAATAGAATCGAAATATGAAAGAATAGAATGGAAAATAGAAGAGATTAGAACAAAACAGAATAGAAATATGAAAGAATAGAATAGAATAGAATAGAACGAAGGAGAACAGAATAGAATAGATTAGATTAGATTAGAATAAGGAAAGAAGGAAGGAGAATGGAATGGAATGGAATGGAATAGAATCGAAATATGAAAGAATAGAATGGAAAATAGAAGAGATTAGAACAAAACAGAATAGAAATATGGAAGAATAGAATAGAACGAAGGAGAACAGAACAGAATAGAATAGATTAGATTAGAATAAGGAAAGAAGGAAGGAGAATGCAATGGAATGGAAGAGAACAGAACAGAATAGAAATATGAACGAATAGGAATAGAATAGAATAAGGAAAGAACAATGAAAGAAGGAATAGAATAGAATAGAGTTGAATCGAATTCTTTATTGGCCAAGTGTGATAGGACACACAAGGAATTTGTCCCTGGTGCAGAAGCTGACCGTATCCTTATGAAGAGCAAGTAAGCAAAAAGTTCAAAGGGATCCAGGGAGAAGCGTGGGCGGGGGGGGGGGGGTCTGCTTCAAAGAGGTGGCTGGCTGAAACCAACACTGGGGAACTGTGTGTCTGTGTGTCTGTGTGTGTGTAACTGCAACAACAGCTACCCTATCCCTATCCCTCCTTGTCTCCCCAGCCCCCTCACCCCTAGGACTGAAGTGAGATGGGGGGGGGGAAATCAAGATTCACAGAGAATCAGCTGCTCCAACCCCCTCCGGCCCCCTCCCCAGATCCAGGGTTGTACGAGGGCTTGGTGAGGATGGGGGTGGGGGGCTGGGACCGGAGACGGCTGCACCAGAGCGCTGGTTTCAATTTCTGCAGCTGGAAAGAGTTATCTGCCCCCACCACCACACTCCCCACGCCCCCCCCCCCTTCCTTCACCGCGATCCAACATATGCTTCTGGTTTGGCATGTAAGCATGGAGAAAAAATTGATTGCCCAGCTCCATTTTGCACAAAGGGAAGAAGAGGGGAGGGGGCTTGCGATGAGCAAGGGCTCCTGTGGGGTGGGGAGTGGGGTTAAGTGGGGAGGGGGCTGCTCTGCTTTCCCCTGGACAGGATGACGAGGATGGACCTTCCTCTCGCCCAGCGAAGAAGGAAGAAAATGCCCCTAACTACAAAATGCAAGAATACGACCGATTGGGGAGCCCCCCTCCCCAATCAGATAGTCTTCCAGCTACCTGGATCAAATTTACAACTCCTTCCCTCCCAATTCCTCCTAATTGCTTTGCAATGCAGCTCCCCCCCCCCCCCCCCCAGGTAGGCAGTTAGTAGCAAAGATGCTGTGAGGAGCTGGTGTGGAGAAACTTCAGCGGCTTTCAATTAGCTATCAATTACATGGTGGATGTTGTGAGTTGCGAACTCGTGTCTAACCCATCGCAACCCCATGAACAACGTTCCTCCAGGCCTTCCTGTCCTCTCCCATCCTCTGGAGTCCATTGAAGCTCACGCCG